CGTCTTAATGCTGGATGTGTTTCAGCTTTTGTCTTCTCCAGATGTTAACTGATGGACTGGAGTGCTGTGGATTATTGTGATGTTTTTATCAGCTGTTTGGACTCTCATTCTGACGGCACCCATTCACTGCAGAGCATCCATTGCTGAGACACTGATGCAGTGCTACATTTCTCCAAATCTGATGAAGAAACAAACTCATCCTAATCTTGGATGGACTGAGAGTGAGCACATTTTTTGGGTGAAATATTCCTTCTTGAGCTGATCTGATTATTGTTGTGGTTTTAAATGTGTAGGTTCAGATGACATTGTCGGACCAGAGAGCATGGAGAAGTTCTGCGAGGACATCGGAGTGGAGCCAGAAAATGTTAGCAAAAATGCATCTATATGTTCCATAGAAAACCCTAAAATTAGGTGTTGGGAATGGTCTTCTATCCAAAATGTGACCCTGCAGCACAAAAGCAGTGTTAAGTCGCTGGGGGATATTTGTAGCAATAGCCAACAATACATTGTATGGGTCACAATTATACATTTCTCTTTTATGCCAAAAATCATTAGGATATTAAGTAAAGATCATGTTCCATGAAGCTATTTTGTACATTTCCTACCCTAAATATATCAACACTTAATTTTTGATTAGTAATATGCATTGCTAAGAACTTCATTTGGACAACTTTAAAGATGATTTTCTCAATATTTAGATTTTTTAGCACCCTCAGATTCCAGATTTTCAAATAGTCAATGGAAAGCTTATTTATTCAGCTTTCAGATGATGTATAAATCTCAATTTCAAAAAATGGACCCTTATGACTGGTTTTGTGGTCCAGGGTCACATATGGGGGAAATCACTTGAAATAATGTGCACTGTGTTTGTGTGACCCTTCAGATTGTAATGTTAGTTTTAGCCTGGAAACTTGAAGCAACAAATATGGGATTCAATGGAAAGCTTATTTATTCAGCTTTCAGATGATGTATAAATCTCAATTTCAAAAAATGGACCCTTATGACTGGTTTTGTGGTCCAGGGTCACATATGGGGGAAATCACTTGAAATAATGTGCACTGTGTTTGTGTGACCCTTCAGATTGTAATGTTAGTTTTAGCCTGGAAACTTGAAGCAACAAATATGGGATTTTTCACAAAAGAAGAGTGGCTGAAAGGAATGACGTCACTACGGTAAGATGTTTAATGCCTCGAACGTCATGAGAAATTAAGTCTTTTATTATGCTGCCGTTAAACTTCTCTGATGTGTGTACAGTTGCGACTGCACAGAGAGATTACAGGGCAAACTGGATTATATGCGCTCTCAGCTGAATGACCCGGTTATATTCAAGAACATTTACAGATACGCCTTCGACTTCGCCAGGGTGAGAGGATGGCAAAAATGCACTTGTTTTCTCCATTTTAAGATAACTTAAGCATTTTAGGATAAACATTGCTTGTTTGTTGTATCTGTATATAATTTATGGTTTATTTTTTGTCTGCTTATGGATGTTTTTTCATCATATTCATCTGTTTTATATATTATGTAGGATAAAGATCAGCGCAGTCTTGATATGGACACTGCAAAATCCATGTTGGCGCTTCTCCTCGGACGGACGTGGCCTCTGTTCCCAGTTTTCCACCAATTTCTGGAGGTTTGTCATCTTTTTCTTCAAACCAGACTGTCATATCTGCTCCAAATTAGGTGAAAAACACAATAAAAGCAGGGCTTGACTTTTTTTCGTCTAAGGAGCACATATAAAAACCTTCAGGGGCACAATATAATTAGTTTTTACAAGGGACACAAGGAGATATTTTGCAATACTTTTTGTATTTGTTTTTATACAACAAGCACACTAGGTTTTTAAATATTTCCGCTTTAAACTGCATTTATTTAATAATCATACTAATTTTGAATGTTGAATTAAATGCCAGATACGTTTGTGTAACTAACATACCAATAACAACCAGTAAAAAGTGTTATACTTTTGATTAAACAAGCCTGAAATATACTGAGACTCTTATTTTGAAATGTCTTTACTACTTCCAGCTGCGCATTCAAATCTAAATCATATTTCAATATGAACACAGTATAATAGTGTGGTATTTATTGATCGTGAACTGCTCTGAAACTGCAAGCCTGTAATACGTGCAGCATCGCCGCATTTAAACATGCAACACTCATATTTATTTCATTATATCATCGCCTTTTGAAGTTGAATTCTCACATTAAGCTGTATTGTGATTACTGTGTAATGGGCCCACATTTACAACCCATTCCAATGATAATGAATATGTTTGTTATAGCATTTAAGATATTTTCATGGCCTTAAATTTTAAACAAAAATCCAGAATTTGAGACTTTTTACTAGTGCTGTCAAACATTTTAAAAAATGTACTAATTAATTGCACATTTTTCTGTAATTAATCATGATTAATTGCATGTTAATATATTTATACAGTCCTAATTTCACATTGAATCTCCAAATTAATGTAGAAACGGCATAAAGATGGCATCTTTTTACTAAGCAGCCTATTATTAGTGAAGGCCAGTATCATTGATATCAATGCTGCTATTGGTGTCTCTATTAAATGCATTTCCCCATTAATTATAGCCATTCAAATTACAGTATAATTAATTATAACTTCTTTTTTGCATTTTAGCGCGCTTGATACCATGTTCATATTATCTACTATAACACTAGCCAAGGGATGCCAGGGGAAAAAATCGATGCTGTGTTAAATATTTTTACTGTTAAACTAAAAAAACGCTTTAATTTTGACAGCCCTGCTTTTTATTGCTGCAAGCGAAACTCTCACACTGCCAAACCCTCATAAAAGTAGTACATTAAAAGCCAAAATGAACCATATGTTGTCATCGGGGTTTTTTTTAAGACTATGCATTTAAAAAAAAACCTGAATTCATTGGTATTTGTTGTTTAAAGTGCTGTGACTAACAGAAACGTCTCTCCTCAGCAATCAAAGTATAAAGTCATGAATAAAGACCAGTGGTACAACGTCCTAGAGTTCAGCCGTACGGTTAACACAGACCTGAGCAACTATGATGAAGACGGAGCCTGTAAGTGTGCTGGATTCCTCTCAGCTTCTCTCAGAAGATGTTTCAGAGTTAAACGGCTGCTGATGTGTCTGTGATTTCAGGGCCAGTGATGCTGGATGAGTTTGTGGAGTGGAATAAAGCCAGAAATGCATTATAGCACAAGCAGACGTTTTTGTTGTTTTTGGCTGTGCCCCAGACGATGGCACACGTCTCGAGGACTGCTTCAACATGTCCCACATCACTACCCAGAGACTCTTACAGTCTTACTTTAAAAGGAAACTGCACAGAGGAATCACAAGACGAAAGGGGAAATATTTTTCTTATGTATTGAATTTGTTGCAGCAGGTCTATTGCCAGTGTTGTATGAATTTTCTTTCCTTTTCTTTTTCTCTCAAAGTTTTACTTTGTTTATAGTGTTTTGAAAAGGAAATAAATAAAGCAGTTGTAAATTAACTTTTCGTCTGGATTCTGGACTGTTGGAGCAATAAAGCATTTTACAACTAAAATCTAAATGAAGCATGAATAAAAAGATTTATTTTACGTGCACACAAAAACTCACCAAGGCTGCTTTTATTTGATCAGATATACAGTAAAAAATGTGAAATATTATTACAATTTAAAATAGCTGTTTTCTATGCAAATATATGTTCAACTGTAATGTATTTCTGTGATGTGCAGCTGTATTTCCAGCATCATTCCTCCAGTCTTCAGTGTCACATGATCTTCAGAAATCATTCTAATATACTGATTTGCTGCTTGAGAAACATTTCTGATTATTATCAATCTGGAAAGATTCACAGATGGATAGAAAGTTCAAAAAACAGCATTTCTTTGAAATAGAAATCGTCTGTAACATTATAAATGTTTTTACTGGCACTTTTGATCAATTTAATGCATCCTTGCTGAATAAAAGTATTAATTTCTTTAAAAAAAAAAAAATCTTACTGACCCCAAAATTGTATGTATGTATTCCAAATATTCGCATCATAGTTACTACTTTTGAAAGAACAGGTGACGTTGCCTATACATGAAACACATTTAACATACAATTGATGCTTGTAAAAAAATATAAATGTGACCCTGGAGCACAAAAGCAGTGTTAAGTCGCTGGGGGATATTTGTAGCAATAGCCAACAATACATTGTATGGGTCACAATTATACATTTCTCTTTTATGCCAAAAATCATTAGGATATTAAGTAAAGATCATGTTCCATGAAGATATTTAGTAAATTTCCTACTGTAAATATATCAAAACTTAATGTTTGATTAGTAATATGCATTGCTAAGAACTTCATTTGAACAACTTTAAAGATGATTTTCTCAATATTTAGATTTTTTTGCACCCTCAGATTCCAGATTTTCAAATAGTTGTATCTCAGCCAAATATTGTCCGATCCTAACAAACCATACAGTATAAATCTCAATTTCAAAAAATGGACCCTTATGACTGGTTTTGTGGTCCAGGGTCACATATGGGGGAAATCACTTGAAATAATGTGCACTGTGTTTGTGTGACCCTTCAGATTGTAATGTTAGTTTTAGCCTGGAAACTTGAAGCAACAAATATGGGATTTTTCACAAAAGAAGAGTGGCTGAAAGGAATGACGTCACTACGGTAAGATGTTTAATGCCTCGAACGTCATGAGAAATTAAGTCTTTTATTATGCTGCCGTTAAACTTCTCTGATGTGTGTACAGTTGCGACTGCACAGAGAGATTACAGGGCAAACTGGATTATATGCGCTCTCAGCTGAATGACCCGGTTATATTCAAGAACATTTACAGATACGCCTTCGACTTCGCCAGGGTGAGAGGATGGCAAAAATGCACTTGTTTTCTCCATTTTAAGATAACTTAAGCATTTTAGGATAAACATTGCTTGTTTGTTGTATCTGTATATAATTTATGGTTTATTTTTTGTCTGCTTATGGATGTTTTTTCATCATATTCATCTGTTTTATATATTATGTAGGATAAAGATCAGCGCAGTCTTGATATGGACACTGCAAAATCCATGTTGGCGCTTCTCCTCGGACGGACGTGGCCTCTGTTCCCAGTTTTCCACCAATTTCTGGAGGTTTGTCATCTTTTTCTTCAAACCAGACTGTCATATCTGCTCCAAATTAGGTGAAAAACACAATAAAAGCAGGGCTTGACTTTTTTTCGTCTAAGGAGCACATATAAAAACCTTCAGGGGCACAATATAATTAGTTTTTACAAGGGACACAAGGAGATATTTTGCAATACTTTTTGTATTTGTTTTTATACAACAAGCACACTAGGTTTTTAAATATTTCCGCTTTAAACTGCATTTATTTAATAATCATACTAATTTTGAATGTTGAATTAAATGCCAGATACGTTTGTGTAACTAACATACCAATAACAACCAGTAAAAAGTGTTATACTTTTGATTAAACAAGCCTGAAATATACTGAGACTCTTATTTTGAAATGTCTTTACTACTTCCAGCTGCGCATTCAAATCTAAATCATATTTCAATATGAACACAGTATAATAGTGTGGTATTTATTGATCGTGAACTGCTCTGAAACTGCAAGCCTGTAATACGTGCAGCATCGCCGCATTTAAACATGCAACACTCATATTTATTTCATTATATCATCGCCTTTTGAAGTTGAATTCTCACATTAAGCTGTATTGTGATTACTGTGTAATGGGCCCACATTTACAACCCATTCCAATGATAATGAATATGTTTGTTATAGCATTTAAGATATTTTCATGGCCTTAAATTTTAAACAAAAATCCAGAATTTGAGACTTTTTACTAGTGCTGTCAAACATTTTAAAAAATGTACTAATTAATTGCACATTTTTCTGTAATTAATCATGATTAATTGCATGTTAATATATTTATACAGTCCTAATTTCACATTGAATCTCCAAATTAATGTAGAAACGGCATAAAGATGGCATCTTTTTACTAAGCAGCCTATTATTAGTGAAGGCCAGTATCATTGATATCAATGCTGCTATTGGTGTCTCTATTAAATGCATTTCCCCATTAATTATAGCCATTCAAATTACAGTATAATTAATTATAACTTCTTTTTTGCATTTTAGCGCGCTTGATACCATGTTCATATTGTCTACTATAACACTAGCCAAGGGATGCCAGGGAAAAAAATCGATGCTGTGTTAAATATTTTTACTGTTAAACTAAAAAAACGCTTTAATTTTGACAGCCCTGCTTTTTATTGCTGCAAGCGAAACTCTCACACTGCCAAACCCTCATAAAAGTAGTACATTAAAAGCCAAAATGAACCATATGTTGTCATCGGGGTTTTTTTTAAGACTATGCATTTAAAAAAAAACCTGAATTCATTGGTATTTGTTGTTTAAAGTGCTGTGACTAACAGAAACGTCTCTCCTCAGCAATCAAAGTATAAAGTCATGAATAAAGACCAGTGGTACAATGTCCTAGAGTTCAGCCGTACGGTTAACACAGACCTGAGCAACTATGATGAAGACGGAGCCTGTAAGTGTGCTGGATTCCTCTCAGCTTCTCTCAGAAGATGTTTCAGAGTTAAACGGCTGCTGATGTGTCTGTGATTTCAGGGCCAGTGATGCTGGATGAGTTTGTGGAGTGGAATAAAGCCAGAAATGCATTATAGCACAAGCAGACGTTTTTGTTGTTTTTGGCTGTGCCCCAGACGATGGCACACGTCTCGAGGACTGCTTCAACATGTCCCACATCACTACCCAGAGACTCTTACAGTCTTACTTTAAAAGGAAACTGCACAGAGGAATCACAAGACGAAAGGGGAAATATTTTTCTTATGTATTGAATTTGTTGCAGCAGGTCTATTGCCAGTGTTGTATGAATTTTCTTTCCTTTTCTTTTTCTCTCAAAGTTTTACTTTGTTTATAGTGTTTTGAAAAGGAAATAAATAAAGCAGTTGTAAATTAACTTTTCGTCTGGATTCTGGACTGTTGGAGCAATAAAGCATTTTACAACTAAAATCTAAATGAAGCATGAATAAAAAGATTTATTTTACGTGCACACAAAAACTCACCAAGGCTGCTTTTATTTGATCAGATATACAGTAAAAAATGTGAAATATTATTACAATTTAAAATAGCTGTTTTCTATGCAAATATATGTTCAACTGTAATGTATTTCTGTGATGTGCAGCTGTATTTCCAGCATCATTCCTCCAGTCTTCAGTGTCACATGATCTTCAGAAATCAGTATAATATACTGATTTGCTGCTTGAGAAACATTTCTGATTATTATCAATCTGGAAAGATTCACAGATGGATAGAAAGTTCAAAAAACAGCATTTCTTTGAAATAGAAATCGTCTGTAACATTATAAATGTTTTTACTGGCACTTTTGATCAATTTAATGCATCCTTGCTGAATAAAAGTATTAATTTCTTTAAAAAAAAAAAAATCTTACTGACCCCAAAATTGTATGTATGTATTCCAAATATTCGCATCATAGTTACTACTTTTGAAAGAACAGGTGACGTTGCCTATACATGAAACACATTTAACATACAATTGATGCTTGTAAAAAAATAAATATGTGTCCCTGCAGCACAGAAGCAGTGTTAAGTCGCTGGGGGATATTTGTAGCAATAGCCAACAATACATTGTATGGGTCACAATTATACATTTCTCTTTTATGCCAAAAATCATTAGGATATTAAGTAAAGATCATGTTCCATGAAGATATTTAGTAAATTTCCTACTGTAAATATATCAAAACTTAATGTTTGATTAGTAACATGCATTGCTAAGAACTTCATCTGAACAACTTTAAAGATGATTTTCTCAATATTTTGATTATTTTGCACCCTCAGATTCCAGATTTTCAAATATTGTCCGATCCTAACAAACCATACATCAATGGAAAGCTTATTTATTCTATGAATATATATATATATATAGACAAAATAGCTTAATCTAAATGTACACTTGATAAGGCTAGTGGTAGTTTTAGACTCAAAAAGGAAAACGCTGAATGACAGATCAGCCTGGTCTAACCACAAATACAGTGTTTTCAGTGTGTCGTAACTGTGTCCCTCGGCCTGTTTGTGAGTCTCCAGTGTCTCCTGCTGAAGCTGAAACACTGTCTTCATCCGCTTGAATCATCTGGCCGTCAGTCGACTCTGTCTGGGTTGATGTAAAGAGCTTCAGACTGTTTCATGATTGCATTGAGTCGCGTCAGTGACCTCGTCTTCACCCTCCATCCCTGAGTCTTTGATATGGCTGTATGGAGCCCCTTCTTCATCATAGTTGTAGACTTTAATGACGCGGCTCTTCTTCTTTGGATGTGGACTAGCTGCTGATCTCAACTGTGGGGTTTGTTCTTCTCCTTCACAACTCTGAGGCTCATTTGACTCGTTTATACCATTTCCAATAGCGTCCGCATTATCAACATCCATGCGTTCCCGAGCAACCAAATCAGTGTCCACAGTGTCTTCTCCAGCGGTTTGGTTCTTATGGAAGAACACTGTGTCAGTTTGTGCTCTGGTGGTTTGTAAGTTCTTCTGTCCATTAATGTGATTGTGTTTTCTATGAGGCATGTGGGCCCTTATCGTTCGTAGGCACCTCATCACGTAGGATCTAGTGAATGCACCGAGTGTGAAGGCCACTAAAAAGCTCACGATTACTGACGATGCCACAGCCGCCGCAAAATGGCTTTCTGACACCGTGTCGCTGTAAACCCCTGCCTCCCTGGTCTTCCTCTGCCGTTTCTTGGTGGGAACTACGTTAACTCTATAAGGCACGATTATTTTGCTCATCTTGTCCAGACGGACACAGTAATAGAGTCCATCATGGCTGGATGTGGCTCTTGAAATCTTCAAAGTGCCATTGCATGTGTACACTGGGTCTTTGTTTTGGTGGTTACAGCTATCAAACAGACCAAAAGGTGTCTGCCAAAACTGCACCAGCACTGCGGAGAGAAGAATACAACAATCACGACTGAATAGGTATGTTTCATAGCTTAAAACACTGAAAATGGAGCTAAATTTGGGTTCTTTTTCAACAAATGGTCAGTGAAAGGAAGCACTTAATAATAAAAAAAAATGTGTGTGTGGTGTGGGTGTGTGTGAGAGACCCTGCAGCACAAAAGCAGTGTTAAGTCGCTGGGGGATATTTGTAGCAATAGCCAAAAATACATTGTATGGGTCAAAATTATAAATTTTTCTATTATGCCAAAACTCATTAAGATATCAAGTAAAGATCATGTTCCATGAAGATATTTTGTAAATTTCCTACCGTAAATATATCAAAACTTAATTTTTGATTAGTAATATGCATTGCTAAGAACTTCATCTGGACAACTTTAAAGATGATTTTCTCAATATTTAGATTTTTTTGCACCCTCAGATTCCAGATTTTCAAATAGTTGTATCTCAGCCAAATATTGTCCTATGATTATTTATTCAGCTTTCAGATGATGTATAAATCTCAATTTCCAAAAATGTACCCTTATGACTGGTTTTGTGCTCCAGGGTCACATATATATATATATATATATATATATATATATATATATATATATATATATATATATATACATATATAATAATACTTGATACTTATTTGATACATATATTTGATACTTTAAATAAAGTAAACTCACTGGAATTAAATAAAATATAAAAAAAGCTAGATGCCAAGTCAACATTTCTCGTTTTCAACTTCATGCACTAAAATACTAAAACTAAAACTGAAATTAAAACCATAACGACAAATAAACAAAAACTATTAAAAATGATCAAAACACACAACAAAATTACTAAAACTTCAACTGAAATTAAAATATAGAAATATATAAAACAGAATAGAATAATTAAAAAAACGATAACAGTATCTCAATGATTATAAAATAACACCGGGTCAAACAAACTAAATGCACTTTATAGTTTTATTTTCTGTTTATTTTATATACCTTATTTTTCACAATTCTCCACAAGTCTGATTTCATCATTTTCTATAAATAGGTATAAGAAAACAAAGCCAAAAAAAAAAAACTTGATGTGACTGGGACCAAACGCTTTTTGTAATCTATTGATAAATTAAAAATTTCTATAAATTCAAATATTTTTACTATCAACTTGAATGGTTAAGCAAGACGAATGCACTCAACACTACAATGTATGTAAAATGTAATACTTTTGCGTTTAATAATTAAGAAAATGGAATAAGATTATAGACTTCCAGCCTTTTTATAAATTCCTGTCTTTTTGTGCAGCTCACCTTCATCTCCTCGACTTTGGCACCGAAGCGTCAGCTTTTGTCCTGGATGAATGTGAGCTGAGTTTTCAGGTCTGACCTGCAGACGGTTTATTTGAGAGCTCCTCAGAGTCTGCAGCGACTCTTGAGAGTTTCTGTGTGCTGCAGTTTTAGATTTGACACACAGAGAACCCCAGAAGAGAATCAAAGCCACCAGAGAACTGATGCTCAACTCCATGGTGTCTAGAAGAAACGGAGAAGCTCAGTGTGTTTTTGACTGCTATTACCAATATTATTGCATTATTAATAATTGCATAAATATAAAACAAAAAAATATATACAGCTGCCCACTGGTTTGACTTCAAAAAACACAGACAAAATCTGAAGTTCACAGTATGTCAAAAAAACAAAATTTCTGACTGTTTTGAAATTTAAAATCATGTAGATATATGGCATAAAGTATAGATCAGCCAGTCAAAAACTCACAGGAGGAGTGTTGAAGTCTGTAGTTTTCTCTGAGAGAGGAGTAAAGTACAGTCCTCACATGACAGCTCTTATATTTCATCTCGTGCTCCGTGTTTAAAGATTAACATTTTGCTGTCATGTGCATGTTTTCCAAATGTTTGAGTTTATGTCATAACAGTTAGTGGCGGTTTATGGCTGAAGAATGTGAGCTTTGGGTCATTAGTAACATTATTTGTCTCATTATGTATGCAGAAGAGCAAATGGGAAATTGACAATCCAGCATTCTGTTATTTAAAAAAATCTAACATTTGATCCATTCAATGCAATACAGCAGCAGAAAAGTCATTTTTGGCAATATTGATTATACATTTCCGTCAGTGGTGCATGTGGAAAAACAATGTTGAATACTGAAAAAATCATAATAAAAAAAACTTTTACTTTTTTGTTTTTTATACAGACTTTTGAAAAGGGCACAAAGAAAGGTTTTCCCTTTTGATGTAGAGGTCAAAGGCTGTGCATCTAAACAGACTTGATGTATTTTGGAACACATTTATCCATAATTATATTGTTACTAATAGTTAGGGCCAGTATTTGAGCCATTTCAATGCATTTGAATGTTGTATTTTAAGGACATTTCGTTCATTTAGTTCAGTAAACAGTTTTAAAACTGTGCTTTAGGATGTAAGATCAGGGTCCTGAAGCAAAACCAGTCGAGAACCGCTGATTTAGATCTTGTAATTTCTTTCTTTCTTTCTTTCATGTGGAAAAAAAGCAAAGAGAAAGGTGTATTTTAGTTCATTGATCTAAATGCGTTTTCTCCACATAAATTGTATTAAATTATTTTCAGAGTTAATTAGTTGCTGGCTTTTATGGATGTTGCAGATGCTGCAGATCACGACGCCCGCCAAGTTTCAAAGGATTCACAACAGAAACACGCATGTAAATTCGCCAAATGTAAAAACGTTGTATAAATTCAGTAATTACTATGTAATTGTATATAGACAACTTTCAGGCTGCCATGTCTACTTTAAACTGCATTTCATAGTAATCTCGATTCTACCTGCTTGATCTATTTCTACAGCGAGCCTCATGAAACATTAGTGTTTTTGCCACACGGTGGCAGGAGGAAACTTAAGCATCACCATATGTTCTCTAAAACTACACGTTTTGTGTTTGCTTTTCTTAGCTGCCTACAGAAAGCTGAATTTAAAATGACACACACACACACACAGGTTTGTTTTTATGGTTTGTGGGGACTCTCCATAGGCGTAATGGTTTTTATACTGTACAGACCGTATATTCTATTGCCCTACACCAACCCTACCCCTAAACCTACCCCTCACAGGAGACTTTCTGCATTTTTACTTTCTCAAAAAAACTCATTCTGTATGATTTATAAGCTTGTTTCCTCACGGGGACCTCAAAAATGTCCCCACAAGGTCAAAATTGACTAGCATTACTATCTTTGTGGGGACATTTGGTCCCCATAACGTGATAAATACCAGGTACACACACACACACACACACACACACACACACCAGTGTGAGCAGTGAAGGCCCCTCCCTCAGACTCAGAGCACAGAGAACATGAAACACGAGGAATTAAACACACAGTCTCTGGAGGACTGAGGAGAAACCTGTGGACATGCGTGTGTGTGTGTGTGTGTATGTGTGTGTATGGAGCAGTAAATCATAAGAAACATCATCTGTTCATACCTCATTTGAATATCCTCAAGCAGGAAGAGTTTTGCAGGTAAATGACGGCATTTAAGGTTCTTGCATCATTACAGATCATATTTAGTGGGTATTTTTCAAATGAGTGTGAGTGTGTGAGGTGTTCATGTGGCTTCACTCAAAAGCGCACGTATCCGCGGTGTTTGCAGCTGTTTTGAACGCATTTAGTGTTTAGTTGTAGATTGTTTGCGTGTGTGTGGAACGTTGAGAAGGAGGGAGGAGTTACATTCTAACAGTTTGTAATGCACTTAGGTACACACATACACACACACACACACACACACACCAGTGTGAGCAGTGAAGGCCCCTCCCTCAGACTCAGAGCACAGAGAACATGAAACACAAGGAATTAAACACACAGTCTCTGGAGGACTGAGGAGAAACCTGTGGACATGCGTGTGTGTGTGTGTGTGTGTGTATGTGTGTGTATGGAGCAGTAAATCATAAGAAACATCATCTGTTCATACCTCATTTGAATATCCTCAAGCAGGAAGAGTTTTGCAGGTAAATGACGGCATTTAAGGTTCTTGCATCATTACAGATCATATTTAGTGGGTATTTTTCAAATGAGTGTGAGTGTGTGAGGTGTTCATGTGGCTTCACTCAAAAGCGCACGTATCCGCGGTGTTTGCAGCTGTTTTGAACGCATTTAGTGTTTAGTTGTAGATTGTTTGCGTGTGTGTGGAACGTTGAGAAGGAGAGAGGAGTTACATTCTAACAGTTTGTAATGCACTTCATATAGTGATACATTTGACAGGGTTCTATATTTATGACTAATTCGCATATTAAGGATTGTTTAAATTGTGGTTTCCAAGTCTTGTGAGTGCAATCTAGTTTTAAATTTGCGATAGTTACAAACATTTGCGAAACATACGGCAACCTTGCTTTAGTACATTTGATACAATGTCACATTATATTCAGTACTTTGTATTGAACGTCAAACATTCCAAACATACTGACCTTCGTACTGTCCCTCTAACAATAAGTCAGCTGCAATCTGTACTGTACATAAACAGACTTGTTTATGAACTGCATAAGGTTTTTTGTTTCATTCACCAAAAAAAAAACCCAGTTATGGGTTTGGATGCTTAAATGACACTTACAATTTTTTATAAAATTAAACTTGACTTCATACATCCACTAAAATCATGTAAATCCTGACATATCACGTAATATAATAGTCAGATTTGTATAGAATAATACATTTTAGACATTTAAAAAAAAAAACGTTTTCATATGTGTTTTATGTTTTGTATCATATTTCATGCTTAAGGGTTTTATGGCTCATATAGTATGATCTAGTGAGAGTATGGAGCTCAAGGAGTAAAAACAGCTCAGTTCATTTCAAAGGCCCAAACTGAGCAAAAATATGCAATGTGGTGCTGATGCTGATATTTATATGGCCAAAAAGTATGATTTTTTTTATAGCTTGTAATATAAATCAACGAGATCTTAATAACAGTACAGCAGATACTTACATAAATATCAGTCGTCATTCTATATCTCCAATAATATGTCTTAGTAAGATGATCTTTAAATGCTTAATTTTATGATCAATTCTTTGTAGTTTCAAAACATATTATGCAATGCACTTTTTCATATGTGTTTTATGTTTTGTATCATATTTCATGCTTAAGGGGTTTATGGCTCATATAGTATGATCTAGTGAGAGTATGGAGCTCAAGGAGTAAAAACAGCTCAGTTCATTTCAAAGGCCCAAACTGAGCAAAAATATGCAATGTGGTGCTGATGCTGATATTTATATGGCCAAAAAGTATGATTTTTTTTATAGCTTGTAATATAAATCAACGAGATCTTAATAACAGTACAGCAGATACTTACATAAATATCAGTCGTCATTCTATATCTCCAATAATATGTCTTAGTAAGATGATCTTTAAATGCTTAATTTTATGCTCTGTAGTTTCAAAACATATTATGCAATGCATTACAGTGCTGATTGAGAGATGAAAACATAAATGTTTGATCATATTTGATGCTCACATTTCTAAAAAATGATTTATGGATAATCAAGTAAACCTGAGTTGCTTCAGTCCTTGAAATAAGAGATTTGATCACTGATGACACATGATTTGATATTTATTTTATAATGCAATGACAATGAGTCATTTTAAGTTTTCAGATGCTTTCTAACTGCCCAAATAAATGGCACCAGTTCGCAATCGCACCCTCTGTCTCGTTCTCGTGATCCTGAAGGTCTGTGTGTTGTGAAAGGGTTTATATTGTGTTTGTCTTCTTGCGCTATCCGTGTGATGATGATGTGGTTCGGTAATTCCGGGCTGGATGGGTGTATGGTGTCATAAACAGAGTCATCTGAGCCCCGTATCGATCTTTTCTCTCTCACAGTCGTGTGTAATGCTTTTATGGCTGTGTGCAGATGTGAATGGGGTTTGTCTTCCATTTGTAAATCCTGCAGGACGACTTCTGGTGCTCCGTCAAGAGTGATAAACAGCAGATCAATTCTTTGTAGTTTCAAAACATATTATGCAATGCATTACAGTGCTGATTGAGAGATGAAAACATAAATGTTTGATCATATTTGATGCTCACATTTCTAAAAAATGATTTATGGATAATCAAGTAAACCTGAGTTGCTTCAGTCCTTGAAATAAGAGATTTGATCACTGATGACACATGATTTGATATTTATTTTATAATGCAATGACAATGAGTCATTTTAAGTTTTCAGATGCTTTCTAACTGCCCAAATAAATGGCACCAGTTCGCAATCGCACCCTCTGTCTCGTTCTCGTGATCCTGAAGGTCTGTGTGTTGTGAAAGGGTTTATATTGTGTTTGTCTTCTTGCGCTATCCGTGTGATGATGATGTGGTTCGGTAATTCCGGGCTGGATGGGTGTATGGTGTCATAAACAGAGTCATCTGAGCCCCGTATCGATCTTTTCTCTCTCACAGTCGTGTGTAATGCTTTTATGGCTGTGTGCAGATGTGAATGGGGTTTGTCTTCCATTTGTAAATCCTGCAGGACGACTTCTGGTGCTCCGTCAAGAGTGATAAACAGCAGAGCAGAAAGCAGAAGCGTACAGTAAACTAAAGGAGGGCCCAGTCGGGTTTATCAGATGCTTAGAGACAATTTCAGAATTTTTCCCCCCTTTTTGGATGTTCTGGTTTGACAGTGTGATACTGACTCGTGTCTAACGGCTCATGTGGCTTTTAGCATGAATGTTAAACAGTTTTACATGAGGAATCGTTCCCAACATGTTGTTCCAAACCTGTATTATTTTCTTAATGCAAAACAATTTTGCTTCCATAATGTGTTTTTTTTTCAGACTAGTGGAAAGAAAACATCCAGAATACATATTAAAGTGTTTATTTTATGACACTTTATCACTTTATGGTTTGTAGATTTCAATCAAAATACGTATTTTCAAAGGCTTTCTCCTGTATCATTTACACTATTTTTATTCCTATTAAATGTTTACCCTGTTTACCTATAGTGCTTGCAATGAACCCCATATTATTTTATTTTTAAACAAAACAAGATAACCAGAATGTCCAAACATCTGCGTTTTCATATTTTTGTTCACTTTGCAGTGTGTTCTTAAAGGAACAGTTCACCCAAAAATGAACATTTGCTGGAAAAGTGCTCACTCTCAGTCCATCCAAGATCAGGATGAGTGTTTCTTCATCAGGTTTGTAGAAATGTAGCACTGCATCAGTGTCTCAGCAATGGATGCTCTGCAGTGAATGGGTGCCGTCAGAATGAGAGTCCAAACAGCTGATAAAAACATCACAATAATCAACAAGTAATCCACAGCACTCCAGTCCATCAGTTAACATCTGGAGAAGACAAAAGCTGAAACTAATCCAGCATTAAGACGTTTTTAACTAAAATACATAGAGTCCATAATCCATAATAACTTCCTGCAGTGAAAAAGTGTTCTGGTGTGAATCAGGAGAGAAATCTGCACAAATCAAGCAGCGTTTAAACGGCTCTAAACACATATGTGGCTGGATTTTGATGTGAGAGACAACAGCAGATGCACTTTTTCACTGGAGGAAGAGTTTTAACCTGCATTACGTTCTTCTGTCTGCGTGTGGTTCCAGACTGCGGGATGTTCTCGTCGGTGAAGCCGTTTGAAGAGCAGCACTTCTCAGCCCTGAGGAACCAGTGCCAGCAGAACAGGACTCTGTTTGAAGACCCCGGCTTCCCCGCTGTGGACCAGTCGCTCTTCTATCATGGAAACCGCATCGGAAAAGTCACCTGGAAGAGGCCGAAGGTAAGAAACAACTGCAGGTTTAAAAAAATTCTACTACACTCTTAAAAATAAAGGTGCTTCACGATGTCACAGAAGAACCTTTGTTGTCTAAATGGTTCCATAAAGAACCTTTAACATCTGAAGAACCTTTCTGTTTCACAAAAGCTTCTTTGTGGCGAAAGAAGATTGTTCAGATTCCAAAAAGGTAAGAAAGAGATGCTTCTTTGACTGAATGCTTCTTTGTGGAGCCAAAAATGGTTCTTCTATGGCATCGCTTGAAGAACCTTTTGAAGCAACGTTATTTTTAAGAGTGTATCTACTAGTCATTTGTTGCATAATGTGAATCTGTTTGTGTTTAGTTTGTAATCTAGCTTAGTTTCGTCTGAAAATGTCGGTCTGTTTTCACATTTGTATTAATGAATAAATGTAATTATTTTATAATCCAATGTATTCCATGAATCTGATCATTTAACACATTAAGTTCAGAATTATAGTATGAAAATTGATATTAGTCTATTTTACCTATTCTATTAAATGTATTTTATAATCCTTTTTTTATTTTTTTATGAAATTTGATTATTTAATTCTTTCAAGTTCAGGACTGAGGTATGAAACCTCATAAATTTTATTATTTATGATTTTATTTATTATATTTGTTATCAAGGATCACCCTATTTTATTATTAAATAAATACAATTATTTTATAACCAAATTTATTTAATAAATCTGATACTTATACACGTGAACTATTTTATTATTTTATTTATTTCGTAAATTCGAACATTTAACACGTAACGTTCAGGATTAAAATATAAGCTTTAAATGATGAGCAAAACAATAGTTAGCAAACAGCACTGATTCATCCAAAGACTTGATCATTAGTGCTCTTTCATCACCATTAATGCACTTGAATCAGCAGAAGGTGGCTGTTTGGACTAAACCATCTCCTGAATAACCTGCTCGTTGTCATTAATCATATCTGATCTGTGCGTTTATGAAAGGTGTGGCCGTAGATCTTGTGTTACTTATGCATTTAAACTCATGCACAGTTGAAACAATAACCTCTTCATACAGTGAACGCTTGATGATATTATATTTAGCCAAAGATTATAACAGTTATTGTTTAGAAATGTGCATGAGGAAAGATTTGTGTACAGGACTGGTTTCCTGCAGCTGTCATAACTGGAGACTTGTGTGTGATTAATAAATGTTTTCTTAGCATGTCAATAAACCATGCCAAAAAAACAAACAAATAAAAACTGATTTCATATGCAATATTCAGTACTCTACCATTCAAAGTCTGACTGAGGTTGGTAATATTTTTTAAATATTTTTGAAAGAAGTCTCATCTGCTCACCGAGGCTGCATTTATTTGATCAAAAATACGGTAAAAACTGTTAAATATTATTGCATGTAAAACATTAGTGCTCTTTCATCACCATTAATGCACTTGAATCAGCAGAAGGTGGCTGTTTGGACTAAACCATCTCCTGAATAACCTGCTCGTTGTCATTAATCATATCTGATCTGTGCGTTTATGAAAGGTGTGGCCGTAGATCTTGTGTTACTTATGCATTTAAACTCATGCACAGTTGAAACAATAACCTCTTCATACAGTGAACGCTTGATGATATTATATTTAGCCAAAGATTATAACAGTTATTGTTTAGAAATGTGCATGAGGAAAGATTTGTGTACAGGACTGGTTTCCTGCAGCTGTCATAACTGGAGACTTGTGTGTGATTAATAAATGTTTTCTCAGCATGTCAATAAACCATGCCAAAAAAAATACAAATAAAAACTGATTTCATATGCAATGTTCAGTACTCTACCATTCAAAGTCTGACTGAGGTTGGTAATATTTTTAAAATATTTTTGAAAGAAGTCTCATCTGCTCACCGAGGCTGCATTTATTTGATCAAAAATACAGTAAAAACTGTCATATACAATAATACTCTTAATTTTCAGGATTCACAGATGAATAGAAACGTTTCATTCGAAACAGAAATCTTTTGTAACATTATAAACACTATGTAGGGCTGCAAAATAAGTGTATTTATATATATTTATTTATATTTATAAATACAAATATTTGTATTAGTTAATAAAATATAATTAATAGTTATAAAATATAATATTATAGTTAATATAATACTAATAATTTTATCAGTATTATTATCACATTGATATAAAATGACAATATATACATTTTTAGGCCCAACTATGCAGCCCTTCATAGTAAACACTGAGCTTTAAACACAAACAAACAAAGCAAAAACATGAATAAATACATTTTAAAAATACTTTTAAAATACAATGATCAAAAAAAAGTTTCGTTACTTTTATATTTTGTTATAAGTTATGTTTTATATATATATATATATTACACAAAATAAAAAAACAATTTCACTGTAAAATAAAATTAAGTATCATTGATTAATGAAAATATAGTGGTTTCTTGTATTGTAATACAATAACAATATATGAATATCAATGTTTATTATTATATTATTAGTATTAAATATTAAGTAAAATATAAAATTACCCTTGTAATAAAACATTTTACAGTTTATTACAGTGAAATAGATTTATTACAATGGTAATATTTTATATTTTGATTTAATATTTGTATATAATAATAATAATCATCATCATATTTTATATTATAATACAATATATTAATATGATGTTATATTATTGTTATTACGGCATAAAAATATTGATCAAATATAAAATAATACCATTGCAATAAAACTATTTCACTGTCCAATTTCACCAGGCTGTAAGCATGAATGCATATAAAAACAAGTCCGCCGTTAACAATTTTAATCCTTGTTGACTTTAATATTGAGATGCTCACCAATTCAACTCTGTTTTTTTTATTTTGTTTGAATATCTAGAATTTCATGTTGACTTTTAACCAGAAAAACCAGCTTCCCTGTGTTTGCACATGCAGTTCAGGAGAAAACTAAACTAACTGTGACTGTCTCTTTGTCTGTCTGTACGACAGGAGCTGTGTGAAGACCCGCACTTGTTTGTGAACGGGATCAGCGCTCATGACCTGCACCAGGGGCAGCTGGGAAACTGCTGGTTTGTGGCGGCCTGCTCCAGTCTGGCCTCCAGAGATGCTCTGTGGCAGAAGGTGAGTTCATGCCATTAGTGCTTAGTTACCATGATAACTTCTACCTAGTTACCACTCTTTGTAACACTTGTAACTTGTCATGTTTTATGAGATACTGTAATAAAACAGTATAAAAAATTAGAGCATGATGTGAGCAACGCCAAGGTCATTTCCCAGGAAATGCATGAGCTGATAAAATGTGCATCTTAAATGCAATGTGAGTTGCTTTGGATAAAAAATAAATAAATCTGCCAAATGCATATACGCTACTGGTTGAAAGTTAGGAAAGGATCATGCGACTCTGAAGACCAGCTGCTGAAAATTCAGTTTTGCATCACAGGAATAAATTGCATTTTAGAATATATTACAATAGACAACAGTTATTTTAAATTGTAATAATATTTCAGATTTTTACTGTAATTTAAATTTTAAAAAAGCAGTGTTGTAGAGCAGAAGAGACCGCGTTCATAATTATTCTACATTCAATCCAAAATTTTAATTTAAAACAAATACATATTAATTAAAATAATAGCTCAAACAGAGCTCAGGAACTCTTGGCGAATTTTAATTTCTTGTTTTGACGCCAGTGATGGCTAATGCTAATGAAGCACCTTCACTGGAACTAAAATAACTAATTATGTTGTTTTGTCTGAAACACTGATTATTTACTATGAGACGTTTTTAAGAAAAAATACTAGGCCTATTAATCTTCTATATTGATTTCTATTTATAAAAATGCAGCTGTTACTCAAAAACAGTTTTTTGTTTCGTTTGTAGTTCACATTTAATTTTTAAATTTGTTTTAAATATTTAAAACAAATAAATTTAAGTTAAAACAAAATAGCACAGGCAGAACGCAAGAACCCTTGCTGAATCTTTTATTTTAATTTCTTGTTATGATGACAGTGGTGTCTAATGCCAGTTAACCACCTAAAATAACTTTTGTGTTCTTATCCAGCTTATTTTTCGCGGTCATTGGTCAGTTTAATGTGTCTGGCTTCCGGTCTCATCCGCATCCAGTGATTTAAGCTGTTTAAAACCACTCGTTTTGCTGCTTGAGATTGCAAACTGGTGTGTCTTACCATATTATTTTTATGCATTATCTTAATTATGAACGCACTGGTTTGTTTGTAATGCAAACAGTTTTGACATTTACTGCACATCGTTATTCTTCTCGTTATTTCCCTACAGCGGCTAATGAACCAGAAGTCTTGCCCATAGGCTTACTTCTGCATTGAAGAATAAAGTGGATATTTGTTAGAAATATTTATATTTTTATTAAATTGCAAGGTGTCTACAGTTTTTTTTTCTTTGCAAAAAATATATTTTTTTGTTTAAAAAGCATTGCAAAATTATTTACAAGTATTTTCTTTACAAAACACATTACTGGTTGGTTTGTAGTTTCATTTTATTTTTAGTTTGATCATTTTTCTAATATTTCTATTTGACTTTATTTTTTCAATTTTAGTGTAAGTATTTTATTAGTTTTTAATATTCTGATTCAACTTGAATGCATTTTAATTTCAGCTTTAGATTTAGTATTATTATTAGTTTTTCCATTTTTATGTGTGTCTTTAATTAAGTACTTGAATGAAAATAGGAATATTGCCTTGGGGAGAGTTTTTTTTTTTTTTTTTTTTCTAAATCTTTTTTTATTTTTTATTAGTTTTAGTGTGAGTTTGAATTAATAATAACAGCATAATGTTTCCAAAACAATCACAAGCCATTTTTGCAATATTGACAAAGCATCGGACACAGTGTGAAATACACAAATAGTGTTATTTTTCATGAAATCTCAACCTCTGCTGAGTGTTTGATTGCTATTGTTTATACAGCGGTCCAGTGAGCTCATCATTTCACACAGAACGTGATGTTTCCTCATTACAGCTGCACTGTAATCCTTCCAGAGAGAGCCTTGGGATGTGCTTACCGAGCAAACTGCGTTATTAGGACGAGTCTTGTTTCGAGAGAATCAGATGTGACTAATTGGAGACTTGGGGTTATCACATGTTCATTTGTGTCCACACACGACGTGCAATCGTGGCCAAACATGGCCTCCCACGAGACGTTTCCTCGTTTGTTTCCCTGTGTAACACATTTCCAGATCCGAGTGCAAGGAAAGAGTTTTTTTTAACACACTTCCGTTCACTCGTGAGCTTACAGTCGCTCCACATAACTCTCATTAAAGCACCTGTCGCTGTCACACCGCTGTACACTCATCTCCCTCCTGAGGTCTAATTACTGTCCTGTAACGCATCCCCCTGAAGACACACACTCGCATAGTGAGACAGCATTTAACCGTGCTAACGCTGGTCTTAAAAGTAGGGTGCAAACTTATGTTGCCATTCAAGACAGCATCACATCTTAATAGAGAAGACAATTCCAAAATGCATTGCAACAAGCTCTGTGAAAAAAGAAATTGAATTAAATTGTTTCTTAAAGCCGCCTTTGCATTATAAAGGGTATATCATGCATTATAATTATTCATAACGTGCATTGTAATGCATTATATCTTGTTAAAATGCATAGTGTAACAATGAATTGAAAAGTGTTATAATGTAGTTATAATGTGTTTTATGTTGTTTTTATTCGTTATCAGGAATTAGCTTTTATAAATGTATTTTTAAAATATCTTTTAATTGTGAGGTAACATTTATTCACAGTGACCTTGTTATACATGTTATGCATGTACTTGCTAAATAACAATAAACTATGCATAATTACATGCAACTAACTGTAAACCAAGCCCTAATCCTAACCCTAGCCTGAAATTAAGTACATTTAATTAATTGATATATTACTCAGTACTTGTTTGTATGATTACACCTTAAATTACCCAAATTAACCCCTCAGATGTCACCTGAAAGTGAAGTGTAACTCATTTTTGCTTAAGCTTTAGTAATTTTGTGCGTTTGCGTGTTTGTAAATATTACTATTTAAGTTTGTTTAATAATTTTTTTATATCCTGTTACTAAATTAAAAATGTTTCAACTTAAAGGCACATTTTTCAAAATGTTCATGTAATATTTATATTTCCTTTATTTAAAAAAAATATAGTATATTTAGTATATTTATATGTAGTATATTTAATATAGTGTATATAATAGTCTCAGTCAATGATTAAAAAACAACAACTTTTCAGTACTGTATGATATATTAAATAATAGTCTGTGTTGCAGCATAGGGCAACTTTTTTTGTAGTATTTTTTTTGTGGATTATTTAAATATGCTTCTGATTGATAATACTGCTAAATTGCTTTATTTACATTTATTTACAATTTACAATTTTAGTTTTTTATTTTCAATAGATTGTCATGCGGTTTAGGCTATATGCTGTATATAGATATAGCAAATAATATATAATATAAAAATAAATTTTCAATGTAATATCTTTTTTTTTTTCTTCTGATTGTTCAGTAACAAGTTTATTTACTTAAAACACTTTTCAGTACTGCATGAAATATCCATAAAACTGTGTAACTGCTTGCTGTGTTGACAAGCTGAAATTTAAGTACTTAATTTTATTATTTAATGCAAAAATAATTATTTAAAAAGATCAATCTAAGTAAAAATTATCTATTTTAACCATCATTTGAGTTATAGACGTTCGTACCTGGGCGGAAAAGTTTCATAGATAATGTGAGAACTTTACGTATGCATACAGTATATTTGCATCATTTTAATGTGCCTGTCATTGTCTGTTTATCTGACGTTTCATAGCACACAGAGAAGATTTTGATAGTTTTATGTGTCAGAATTGTTCTTTTGAGTTGATTCTTTGAATGAACTTGCTCACAAACTGAACTGAATCAGTTAGAGTGATTCTTTAACCGCTTGTATGTCTCATACAACTAATACAACCACATATGTCACCAGAAGTATAATGGAAACACTCAATGATGCAATCAAACTGATGAATTGGCTTTTTGAATTAGTTCATTGAAAAATCAGTGAGTCAGATTTCCCAGAACTAATGCGTGGCGTTTGCTCAAAAGCTCAGCATCAAAACTGCATTGGATTACATGTGCACCAACAAAACGCATGCACTTACAGTCTTTCTAAAGAGTTGCTTTAAGATAAGAAACCAAACTAAGTGAAGCTAAGTTTTTATGATCGATCGGTGAAAATTAAAAAGGTTTTTAACCAGCACAGAGAACATCTAAGCTGTCTAGGTTTTTAGGATACGATGCTTAGAGAGATTTGATCTCTTAATGGTTTTTGTGGAAGGTCAAAGAGCAGGAGATTTTCTCTTTGGTCGCTCCCTCCTTGAAAGCGAACAGAAAGTACATGACTTTGCGCACCTTGGCCAGCTCCACAATCCTCTCTCCGAACTCCTGAATATCTGCCTCCAGACACTTGATGGGCGAGTCCTCGGGATCCCCGGCGTTCCTCCAGAACTGGCCGATGGGCTCCAGCAGCTGTCTGGTCATCAGGTTGGTCAGATCGGGCGTCCAGAGCTGGCAGATGCCGGTGACGGTGAAGCGTCCGGTTCCTCGCAGGCCGGTGTTCCAGCGGAGGAAGCTCAGGTCCTGTTGGCTGAAGTCCAGCCGGTAGACGGACTCGTGTGGCAGAAGAAGCCGCTCTCCGTCCTGCCGCTTCTGACCCTTCTGCTGCAGCGACTGCACCCTCAGACGCATCACCTCCGCCAGCTGCAGGTCCTCAGCGAAGCTCAGCTCTGTTTCTGAACCCATGAGCAGATCGTCTCGGTGCGCTTGTGCTCGGTGTGCGACTGAATAAACTCTCTCCTCTCTCAGACTTCATTAAAATGCTACAAAAACGGCATGCTCTGAAAAGAGCTGTTTTTGACAGGGTAAAAAAGGTGTTTTTACACTACCATTGAGAAATTTTAACCAAACTATGTTACAGACTTTTCATTAAGACCCTAAAGAATCATATCAACTTGTGGAAAATGGGCATCCTATGACCCCTTTAATATAATATAGTATATTATTATGTCGTATATTTATTTATTAATTTATTTTAAAGAATATAAAATATGCTGATTTGGTGCTCAAGAAACATTTATTATTATCAGTGTTCTAAACAATATAAAGTAAGATTATATTGAAAAAAATTAATTAATACTTTTAACAATGATGCATTAACTTGATCGAAATTGACAGTAAAGACATTTGTATATTATATGTAAAATGATTTCTGTAAAAAAGATTGCTATTTCAAATAAATGTTCTATTTATCAAAAAATCTTGAGGAAAAAAAACATAATATCATAGTTTACACAAAAATATTAAGCTGCAGAAGCTGTTTTCATCATTGATAATAATAGTAGTAGTAATAATAATAAAAGTTTCTTGACACCAAGAAACCAAATCGGCGTAATATGTTACGTTATATGTATTTTTTCCAACATCCATAATAATAAGAATAAGAACAAATCTATTTTTAAATACAAATTAATTAGAAGCATTTCTTTCATTTACATTTAAAATGTAAACATTTATTACAGCACCAAATTCAGTGATAATAAGAATACGCCAACTTAAACTTTACTACACCAAAAAAAATCTAAATCTGTATTTTAAATACAAAGTCATGAGACAATTCATATATATATATATATTAATTATAATTTTTTTATATCATGTTTAGGTTCACTAATGTCACTTTAATGCCAAAGAAAAGGTTTCTATCAGTTAAAAATATGTATGTAAATATATAAAATATTAGTGCTGTCAAACGATTAATCGCATCCAAAATAAAAGTTTTTATTTACAATATATGTGTGTGTACTGTGTATATTTATTATGTATATATAAATACAAACACATACATGTATATTTTGAAAATATTTACATATATATATATTTATATTCTTATATTTTATATTATATATAAATATTTTTAATATGTAAACAGCATATTTTTCTTAAATATATACATGCATGTGTTTGTATTTATATATGCATGATAAATATACACAGTACACACACATATATATTATGTAAACAAATACTTATTTTGGATGCGATTAATCGCGATTAATCGTTTGAGAGCACTAATTCATATATTTATTTTTAATATGAATAATATGAACATGCATGAATGAACTGCTTCATTCCTCTGTGTCCGTCATTTATCAGGTTATGTGGATGTTATGAGGCTTTGGATGGCGGGAACACGGCGGACGCTCTTGTGGATTTCACTGGTGGAGTGTCTGAGCCCATGGACCTGCTGGAGGGGAAGATCATCCAGGAGGAGGAGGCCAGAAATCAGCTGTTCGAGCGCGTGCTGAAGGTCCACAGCAGAGGAGGCCTGATCAGCTGCTCCATCAGAGTGAGTCTGTGAGCCTGGAGCACAAAACCAGTCTTAAAATGAAAGTTTTTTTGGGTGTTAGTATCAATATGTAAGTCTTAAGGTTATCTATAAGGCAGTGTGCTCCAAAACAGTGACAAAATTCGCATTTAGAAGATATAAGCATTCGAAGCTTGCAGTTCGTCACAAAACGATTTTTTTGACGTCACATCGTACTTCAGCTTCTCATCAAACTTTCTGTCCAATCAAATGCTCTCTAGAATCCGAAGCCCCGCCCCCTGCACTATAAAATAGACGCTGAAGCCGTGGCTGAAATCGGTCACTTGTCCACAGAATTAGTATTTTCTGTACAGTGAATGGCACGTAGTGCACTATATAGGGGACGGGGAACGATTCAAACAGTGTAAATATGCTTTCTATTGAGGAAGAAAAGAAGTCTGGTTTGGCGCTGTGTCCCGCTAACCACCGCACCGCACACACACTCTGCTCCGGTCCAGAGACACGATAGCACGGAGCGGCTCTAGCCCAAGCTGTGATATAATCGAATGCTATTGGCTATATTAAAAAGGGGCGGGACTGCTTGATATGTCCCGCCCTGTCTTCCTGTTTCAGTTAAAATGACGTCAACACACATAGAGTTACGCTGCATGTTTCTAAGCATTTCATGGGACCTTTACGTCGCTGGGGTATATTTGTAGCAATAGCCAACAATACATCGTATGGGTCAAAATTATACATTTCTCTTTTATGCCAAAAATCATTAGGATATTAAGTAAAGATCATGTTCCATTAAGAAATTTTTGTAAATGTCCTACCGTAAATATATCAAAACGTAATTTTTGATTAGTAATATGCATTGCTAAGAACTTCATTTGAACAACTTTAAAGATGATTTTCTCAATATTTAGATTTTTTTGCTCCCTCAGATTCCAGATTTTCAAATAGTTGTATCTCGTCCAAATATTGTCCTATCATAACAAACCATACATCAATGGAAAGCTTATTTATTCAGCTTTCAGATGATGTATTAATCTCAATTTCCAAAATTTGACCCTTATGACTGGTTTTGTGGTCCAGGGTCACATTTGTGTTTCATGCAATTATGTGCTGCGTCCAGAGCTGGTTAGTAACTGATCACATGTAATCTGGATTACGTAATCAGATTCCAAAAATTAGATTCAATTCCATTTTAAAATACTCGTAATCAGACTACAGTTGCTTTTTTATGGATTACATGATTACATATTATTTACACAACAGCAATAAATGATTGATCATTTATTGATTCTCCCTAATTCCTCTTTTTCATCTTTTAAATGTTCCTTTCTGAAATAGCCTACTGCTTCATTGGGAAAGTCTCCCAGTTTTGTGGACGTTCACACAGAGACCAGTCATTATACACTACACTGCATTTGACTGCTGATTTACAAAAATCATTTCAGCTTTAAGAAGTGTTTCAACATTGCATAAAATTCAGATGAACACATTCATTTTTATGTGAATTAGCACTCTGTAGGTTATTTAACCATATATTTCCATGTCTTTAGAAGGCTTTCGTCGTTCAAACACATTAAAATGAATTCACAAATTCACAAATAACTTTTTTTCTCATCTTTCACCTAATATATTTACTTAAAGTACACCTAAGATTTTAAAATAAGATTTTAAGTATCATTGGTTATGGTCACATGACATGCGGGTAAACAAAAAACAAAAACAAACAAAAAAATATATATATTTTTAGTAAGTGTTTTGTTTTGATTGATTTTATAATGACTTTTTTTAATTTAACATTTTTATGATTTAATTAATTATATCTTAAACTCATGCACCCCCTGCAGTTTCTTTACAAATCCCAGTTTGGGAAACCTTGACGTTAATATAATGTTTAATGCACTTCATGTTGTTAATAACAATGAATGGAATATATTTTCTTATAAAGCGGAGAGTTCCGGTGCTTGATTCTGATTGGCTGAGCCGTGTTCGAAGCTGTTGTGAATGACGCTACAAAGTAACACACACCTTTGTTTACGTTTGTGTGTTGCTCGGCAACCGCTTTGTAGCAACCACAACTGTTTCTGAGGAGCTACATTGTTCGCGTCGTGCCTTACAACTCTCAATATTGAGAAAATCATCTTTAAAGTTGTTCAAATTAAGTTCTTAGCAATGCATATTGCTAATCAAAAATTAAGTTTTGATATACTTGCGTTAGGAAATTTACAAAATATCTTCATGGAACATGATCTTAATATCCTAATGATTTTTAGCATAAAAGAGAAATTTATAATTTTGACCCATACAATGTATTGTTGGCTATTGCTACAAACGTAATACAAAATAAATACACACACATGCATATATATATATATATTTAAGAAAAATACGTTGTTTATATATTAGATATGTTTATATATAATATAAATTCTATAAATATATACATCTAAATGCATGTAAATATTTTCAAAATATATTCACTGTAAACCACGGCTTCACGGGGCTTGTTGCTTTATTAGTCTGTTTTTTTATATATATATCAATATGGTACATGATTATCCTATTTAAATCAGTGCAATAAACGAGATGGGTCAAAAGTAATCTAAAAGTAATCTGATTACATTACCTAAAATGTGCAATGTAAGGGATTACGTTACTAACTACAATTTTTGTCGTGTAATTTGGAATCAGTGAATGATTTTTAATTTGTAAGTAATCTACCCAGCTCTGGTCGCGTCCCAGCCTCACGTTTTCATATTTGGATTATTTTCCCTAGGCCACGAGTCAGGCGGACATGGAAGCCCGTTTAGACTGCGGTCTGGTCAAAGGTCACGCGTATGCGGTGACTGATGTGCGTAAAGTGCGTCTGGGCACCGGCCTGCTGGCGTTCTTCAAATCAGAGAAGCTCTCCATGATCCGCATGAGGAACCCTTGGGGTCAGAGGGAGTGGAACGGAGCGTGGAGCGACAGGTTTGTGAACATCTGGAAGCTGTTGAGCGTTACTGTCGAGTGTGTGGTTTGTGAAGGAGACAACATTTGTGACCCTGGAGCACAAAACCAGTCATAAGTAGCACGGGTATATTTGCAGTAGTGCTGTTAAACGATTAATCCCGATTAATCGCATCCAAAATAAATGTTTTTGTTTACATAATGCATGTGTGTGTATTCTGTATATTTATTATTTATATATAAAGACACACATACAGCATATATTTTGAAAATATTTACATGTATTTAGATGTATATATGTATAGAATTTATATTATATATAAATATATTTAATATATAGACAACATATTTTTCTTAAATATATATACATATGCATGTGTGTGCATTTATTTTGTATTACATTTGTAGCAATAGCCAACAATACATTGTATGGGTCAAAATGATCCATTTCTCTTTTATGCCAAAAATCATTAGGATATTAAGTAAAGATCATGTTACATGAAGATATTTTGTACATTTCCTAACGCAAGTATGTCAAAACTTAATTTTTGATTAGTAATATGCATTGCTAAGAACTTTATTTTGCACAACTTTAAAGATGATTTTCTCAAAATTTAGATTTTTTTGCTCCCTCAGATTCCAGATTTTCAAATATTGTCCGATCCTAACAAACCATACATCAATGGAAAGCTTATTTATCCATCTTTAAGATGATGTATTAATATCCCATGACCCTAATGACCGTTTTTGTGGTCCTGGGGCCCATTTGTGCATGATGCTCCTGCATAGGTTTGCAGTGTTGTTATTTATTGCACTGTTTGTGCAATGAAAGAAAACTTGGCCTTATATTACACTGAAGTTTTTCCCAGCCTTTCCCTGATGTAAATAGTTTAATTTAGGGCACAGAAGCACTTCAAGTGATCATGTAAACAACTTTCTCAATTTCTGGACAACATTCGCCTAATGTTAACAATTCCAGTGAATGTGCTAAACAGTTGGGAAGAGAAATGATTGCGAGCTAAATATGCTTCATAAAAAAAAGGATTAAAGTATAAAGGTTAATGTGCATGATGTATGACTCCCTCGTGTGAAAAACAGATGCTGTGGAAAAAACAGGACATGTCAAGGCTGTGCGGACACAGCAATGCTTTGTTTCAAACCACAGATTGTGACTTTTAAATGCTGAGTGTATTTTTGTGGTCATACTGCTACCTACTGGAGGACAAACTCAACATCAAGTCTCATATTTCAGCATCATGCAGTACATCATTTTTTTGCATGCTTTGCCTGTTATCTTTGAGATTATAGTCATGTTCACATTGCAGGGTTTTAAGAGTGAAAAACACATTTAAATGTTTGAGGAAATGCCCCAAATCAGGGTTTTCCAACCAAAGAGCACTTGTTGAGTAGAGACCTTATAATTACATGCAAATAATATATTTTTAATTTACATATTTTTATGATGTTAATGTGGCAAATTCATTAAAATAATCAGTATTGATGTGCAAGGTTATGAAGCATTTGAATTGTACTAAATGCGTTAGAATTTGGGTGGGACAATTATATACAGGTTTTTTAATGAATTTTATCGTTGGTTGAAGGTAACTTAATTGTTGCTTTTTTAATATTGTATTGTTCTTTATTGTATTTTCCTTTCTCTTTTTCTTTTTTTCATTACTTGCTTTTTTATGCTATTATTATTTATTCTTTCTGGTTTATACTTTACTGTATATTTAATATTTTTATGTAATTTGTATCATCCTAGTAAGTTATGTTTGTTCCCCTTCTACCCTGTCATTCTCGTGAGGAGTAAACAAAGTAAGAATTCAATTTTAATAGTACATATGACAATAAAGCTCTTGAAACTTATTGCATTTTTTTAAATGTTAAAAATATTTTTTAAATATTTAAAATATATATATATTAATTGTTTTTTTTTTATTAATGTGAGATCAACGAGTAAGTGGTGTCAGATGCATTTTCAGTTGCCAGAGTCATTTGTAAAATATGAAGGCATTTTGGTTTATATACAGTGCCCTCCATAAGTATTGGGACAGTAAAGACTAAATTGTTCTGTTTGCTGTGGAGTCCAGAAATCTGTAAATATGATTAAAAGATGAATATGAGACAAAACTACAGAATGTCACATTTTATTATTGGGTGTTTCTACAAACATGGATGTATTACCAAATAAAAAGGACAGCACTTTTAGAGCGTTGGAGGGCTCTGTATATGTATATGTGTGCAATATATAATATGTCTGTGTCTGTCTGTGTGTGCGTGCGTCTGTCTGTGTCTGTGTGTGTGTGTGTGTGTGTGTGTCTGTCTGTCTGTGTGTCTGTCTGCCTGCCTGTCTGTCTGTCTGTCTGTCTGTGTGTGTGTGTGTGTGTGTGGGTGTGTGTCTCCTTG